TCAAAGAGATTGCATTGTTTCTTGCCTTACATGTTTGAGAGTAGTAAATTGATACTTGTAAAATTTCCTATTTTGTCACAAATTCCAGCCTGCATCAAGCCAGCAATCCAGTGGTAACGCTAAGGTTTTGCAGTTTATAAGAAACGTGAGCAAAATCAGCAAGAAATTAATAAAACTTTGGCATTCTAGTAATCAAAAAGAAAAAAATAAGTAGGTCCTCTGGATGGGTTCTTCTTTAGTGAAACGTTTCATCTCTCCTCCAAGAGACTTCTTCAGTCTGAGGAGTTTCAGGTGAACTCATCCTTATAAGCACTGCCTCCACATGGACAAACAGGTTAGTCATATGCAAAAGGGGACCATCAGTCAAACAATTGATAGATAGTGCCTTGAATAACTCTATTGTTCATAAAGGGTCATGTGCTCCGTCACCTGACTATTGTTGGGGCCCTGATTCACACCTATTTCTCACAGGGGGCTGAGTCATRCTTGCAATATTGTAGGAGGGGGGCAACAGAGACCTCCACTCCTGTTTAATTATGGATRATTTTTCTTCACAAAGATGTCTTCCTTTACTCCTCTCTCAAACCATTGTTCCTCTCTATCAAGGATGAGAACATCTTCATCCCTGAAAGAGTGACCGATGGCCTGTAGATGCGTGCAAACTGCAGAGTCCTAGCCTGACGATGTAGCTCGTCTGTGCTGGACCATTCCTTTGAACAGAGGACATGTGCATCACCCTAACAATAGAGTTCATCAATGCACTAGCAATCTATTGTTTGGCTGATGGTCCTCTTCTGCATGTGAACAACCTGTTTGTCCATGGAGGCAGWRCTTAWAAGGCTGAGTTCACCTGAAACTCCTCAGACTGAAGGAGGAGGAGAGATGAAACGTTTTATTAAAGAAGAACCCGTCCAGAGAACCTGCTTATTTTTACTTTTTCAATTTTTCTACCTGGATYACTGAGATGCATCAGGGCATTATTCCAGTAACGTTCAGTTTGTGGCATTAATTGAATTACTTCTAGATACAAAGTATTTTATTAAACTTTTAGTATAAAACATGATGCATCAAATTACAAGTGATCACATCTGGATGTCTGCACATAATCAAACCAAGACTGATAACTTAATCTYATCCCTCCACATCATAATTACAGTCAGGCCCCACATACATGCAGGTATTTACATTTACTGCAAAGTACAACCCATCAAAGCTGCCAAATGGCCTGCAGTGGTTTTCTGCACACATACATAACAAGGATATGTGCACCTAGCAGAGATACACAAAAAGACTGATGGGGCAGATTGAAGGCGTGGGGAAAATGAATTTCTTTCACCTTTTATCARAGAAAAAGATGGCAGGGTGTGGGTTATGCAAAGAGGCGAGGTCTGAAAGAAAGATTGACTTACAGCAAGCCCTTACGAGATGAAACGAGAGGAAGTTTCAGCGCTTTCTCCTCCAGAAGTGCCCACATCTGTCCACAGAACCTGACATTGCCAAAGCCAAAAACCCCCACACAGAGAACCCAGAGAGACAGACAGGAGCAAGGCGTGCGTAAAGGATGAGTGGTGGGGAGGGTTTGGGATCTGGCTTTATTGCATGAACGTGAGTGCTCGCAGGAGGGAAAAGCAACTAAGATGGGAAGAGGGATGCAGAGAGTTGATGCAAGCTGAATGGCTGCCCTGAAAAGGGGAGGGTACCAGCTCATCCAATGACGTGAGAGATGAGCCAAGCGAAGAGGAGATGGCAACAAAGAGACAGATTTCATTTTTTAATAAATATTTTTTAATTCTTGCCCTCGCTCTCTCAGCTCACCTATTATTTTCTCTCATTTTTTTGTTTGCAGATTTAGAGAAAACGACAAAAAAAATTGGTCAAACAAAAAGTAAGAGATGATTATATGAGGACTGTCTGTCACCTGGTGCCATAAATCTGTTTCTCTCTCTCACACACACACACACGGTGTGTGACACACCAGGGAGGCTGATTCTGGGAACAGGAGAGATAAATCACCAAATCCTGCTGGGAACTTTAAGAACCGATTGCTCTGAAGAGTGACACACATGGAGGCCAGTTTAAAGGGTGATGCAGAGGCAGATGAATCACAGAACAGAACAGACTGGAGGTTAAAGAAAAGTCAAAAATTATACGTGGGTTATTTTAAAGCCTTAAAATGCAGTTTTAAGAATACAACCTGTAATAGTCGAATCATTTAGCAGTGAGGTTAAAATTATACCTGTGTGCATGAACACTGTCCTGTGTGTGTGTGTATGTGTGTGTGTGTGTGTGCGTGCGTGCGTGCGTGCGTGCGTGTGTGTGTGTGTGTGTGTGTGTGTACTTGTTTCTGCTACAGAGTGAGGATCATCCTATATTTT